AATACGATTTTTTTTTTCAATAAGGCAATTTTTCCATTAAGTTTTTTACAAACATTGTCAATTTGCAAGTGCCATTTTAAGTTGTTATCTATGCAAATACCCAACACTTTTTGATCAGTTACATTTTCAAGAGCTATTTAATTTATCTTAAGAATTAATTTTCTCATAATATTTACTTTTTGTCTTGTTCCTATTACCATACATTTTGATTTATTTGGATTTAAGGCCATATTATTTATTTTGCACCATTTGTCAATGTTATTTAAATGATCTTGAAGTTTTATTTCTACTTTTGATATATTTTCTTCGGACTCATAAAGAGTAGAATCGTCTGCGTATGAATCAATTTTTATATCATTACCAATGACAGGCGAGGGTGATATTTTATCTTGGCAGGTAATATATCCACATATATCACTCCAAAACCAAAATAATAATTTTATTACCCTTCCCCTGCCACTTACGAGCTTTCGCTATACGTATATGCAGTATTTCGATAGAGCGGAAGTCAGTGCGCGAGCATGCGCTTTGTCATATCTCGTTCAGTTACCGCTCACGTTTTAAACTCGGTTTCTATGAAGCGATACTAAGTGTACATGGCTTTTACAACTAAAATATCAGACAAACACATTAAAACAATACACATAAACTACACAAAGTTGTTTTCCATATTAGTATTTTGCATTTGAAACTGAAGATAGTCAAACAAATATCTCAATATTCTTACTAATTTAATGTATTGTTTACATGTGATTGACAGCAACGCTGTGTGTTAGATTACTTTCGGTTCAGAAAATTCATTTGTTTACCATCAAAACTCATATGTTTACCAAAGGAACCATATATAGATAGAAAGCAAATTAAACAAAGATAAAGAAAAAATTGTCCGTTTCTGAACAAAAAATCGAATAAATAAATACAAAGTCTTTTTAAAAGGTCCCTTCTTTGAATTCATTTGAAAGGGGAATAATTTGGTGGAATTATAGACAGGGAAACAGGGAGTTATCTTTCATGGCTAGGAAATATGGCCGACTGAAATCATGCAAGCAAGTTTGTAAGTGCCTGCCGAGTTTAGACGATTTTTTAAAAAATCATTGCTGTTTCAAATGAAACGTCGAAATAAGATTCCCTTTAGGGTACCTCTTCATCACAACATGACGTCACATAATTACATGACGTATTTTTCCCGTACCTAACGAATGTAAACAAAAGAAAAGGAGTAGTCTATTGAAAGCACTTTTTTGTAATTAATATCAAGCTTTCACAAGGTCATTTTTGTTTTCAATACTGATGGGAATTTGTATCATTACTCTACTTTGGTAAATATTTATCATTTGACAGTTAAAAAGTGCTTGTAAATCGGAATTTACACCGCGTAAAATCGAACCGTACGCGCATCACCTCAGCGCATGTTTTTTACAACGTTGGGTACCCAACGGGGAAATTTAATGTGTATATTACCCGTCTGGCTCGGTTATATCAATATCTTTCGGGTGATCAATATCCAATCAAAAAGGCGGAAAAAATCTGGATTATAATACAGAGGGATAAGAAGCTCCGAAAATAGACAATATAGCTCTGGTGAAAAAACGCCGCACTGCTATTTTGCAATACACGAGAATAATGAGCATTATATAGTATTTGACGCAAGAAGCAACAGAAATTCTGGTGTTATCCCTAGTCATGTTCCACCTTCACTATTGTAACGTTATTCTCTGTGGGATTACCCAGTGCGACATACAAAAAGTGCTGCGAATACAAAATATCTGCGCAAAACTCGTCAGAACTCACTCTTTATACGATGGTTCCAAAACATTCATACGATCTTGACTGGTCAAAGCTAGTATCACGTTCAAAATTTTAACTTTCATGTACAGCTGTTCAGTTAGAAACGCTCCGAACTTCTTGAAGAAGAACAACTACCAAAACGCGATCTACACTCAACACATACTTAAGAAGGGTGTTTTAAAATACATTATAATAAAACAAAAATTTTGCCGAAAGAATTTTTAGTATCGTTTGTCCGAAACTCTGGAAGGAGCTTCAGGAACTCTATATATTCAGACAGTTGTAAGAACTTGACTACTCATTACTTCAGGGACTACCATTTATGCATTGTTCTAAATAAACAGTGTATTGGTAAACGAAATGTTATAATTCAAATCATTTTCTGCTGTTGTTTATTTATGCAACATTCATGTCAATGCTATTTACAGTTTTTTTGTAATCCCTTTATAAGTATTTTAACGAAATAATTCTAAGATAATCCTAAAACACATTACTCGCAGAGTGGTATACGACGCTTTTGGGAATTGCTCTCCAAGAGGAAATGATACTTGAAATTCTCCGGAGGGTCTATGAATTTTCAAGATGCACTATTCCATATTGTTTTCAGCAGTGTAAATTTGTGTATTCCTACAATTTCTTTTTGTGGTAGGGAGGACACCAAGTATTTTATCTTGAGTTAGCGACACCAATCTTCTAGATTTTTATGTTTGATAGTAGCAATTAAACAAATTATTTTCACTTTCACATAATTGCATTTTATTTGTTAAATATGGCAGAATTATATATGTCTTAAGAATATATCGTTTCTTTTATGGAATTCAAATGCTGTTAATTTTATATTACAATGCGTACTTTCTATTACTGTGTACAACGTCATTGAGTATATCTTGAGAATTAGGCGTTTAACCAAATACTCAAATAAACAAGTTTCAAGTTGTAAGTAAAACTGTCGAAAACTTATTCTATTTTGTTCCAAAGACTTAAAGTCACAAAAATCGTTGAACTTACAGTAAAAAATAAATATGAAAAACAAGATCAACAAGGAAGGGCGACGTTCAATGAACGAAACCCCCACAAGACCCAGCAACGCTGGACCAATGGCAAGAAACCAAGCAGGACCACAAACAAAAAAGGACAGGGTACAAGGTAAAGCACGGACGGGATAATTGATTTCATGGTACATAATAGGAAATAATAGCAACAGGCAAGGAAATTAAGAAAGACAATATAATGGTTGACCAAAAGGCCTTTAAGGCAAAGGCGCGCAGGGGAAGGGGACTCGTGGGTCGGAGAGGGGGTGCAAAGTAAAAAAGATAGGAGCACAAGGGCAGATACTTACGGTAGGTGAAAACATTAAGAAGGGACACAAAAGTGTCACCATAATAGTATAAAACAATAAACAAGACATACTGAGGAACAAAGAGGGGCGCCGCCTTGGAACGGTCAGCAGCCTCAGCACTGCTGTGGAATTTTAACCGGTAAATGGTGCACCAAACCTCACTCTTAGCCTCCACACGTTCCTTTTACACGAAACGAGACAATGTTAATTTGTTAATGAAATTCTAACAGTTGTTATTGTTACAAAATGTTAAATAATTAAAACACAAATATGATTATGCATATACATTTAAAAGATAACCCAATGGCCATAACAAAAGTACTCTTAAAGGAAGCAAGAGCAGCAAGAAAATCACCTACAAGGATCCGACGAAACAAGGCAGAAGACGAAAATTAAGACATTTCAGTCCCAAAGGGCTTTAAAAACTGTCCATCAAAGGGTCTGCCACTTGGTCCATCAGATGTAATAAAAAGAGGAAAGTGTAGTGTCCAACTGAAAAAGGGTTGAACACTAAGCATACGGTAAGTTTCGAAAAGAAATACCAAGAGCTTCGTGCACTTCATTTGTTTTGTTACATATATATCCGTTGTCATTTGATGTAAACGTTTATGAAACAGGAATGTCATTCAAGGAGTCTCTTTTACGTCACATCAGTAAATTTCAATGTTTACAATTTTGTTCTAATTAATAAGCAGACGCTTAACACAAAACCGTTTTATTACATAGAAAACAATGGAAGACCTGTAATGAACAAACAAGTAAGATTGCTGTATCCCGTTACTCAATGGGAGGTAACTCATTACCAAAATAAATATACTTTATCAAGAGTTTTATCCCTTATACACTTTGTAAACTTAAGCGCGCATTTTTTAAATAAGGAAAGACAAGAAAATATTCAAGAGATCATAATAATTAGATTATTCTATAATTTGATTATTCTATATGTATGAATAGTGTACATTTGAAAATATCAATTTATATAAGGGAAAGTTTTGCGTTATACATATTTTAATATAGGCCCAAAAGCAACAGTTCAGTATGAATATATTTGGAATTCAGCAACAGGGCAACATTTTTTTTTGTTCTTTTAGAAAATACAGGTATACGAACGGGATATGTAAAGCGGGAGAATGTCTAAAAAATCGGCGGTAGCGTTTCAAATGTTTTTCAGGGTGTAATTTGTATCGAATCTGGAATCAGAAATGTCATTATGTACAGCATGTCTTTTTCGTTGCTATAGTTCCATGAATAAGAATGTTTCCCAATTTCATCAACTCGTTCGCTGAGGTTAGAGGCCTCAAACAATTCGTTTCTATTCCTTAGTGGAACGTAACACGAAAACATTTGTCAGAATAGGCGCTTGTTTAGTTGATCGATTTTTTTTTTTCGGTTTTATAATAGCAATTCTGTTTTCCTAGTTTTATTTTCTCCTGTAACTTGAATTCACATTGTTTCATTCTCTTTCGTAGGCGGTTTTCCGACTAATATTTTCCGTCTTTATCTATATTTTTACGTACTGTATTCTTGTCTTTCGTACGCAGTTTCTTGACTGGGGATTTAAAATAACAATGTCAATGATAAATAGAATTAAAATCTATAAAAACATATTTTGAAGCAGTTTTGTAAACACAAAATGTAATAATTTTTTACAGTTAATAAAAGCCGGGCTACTGACCTTTGATTTATTCAACTACCTAAAGTTATGGACACCTGTAAAATATGATAGGTGTAAATCTATTTATAGCAACGGTCATATCTAGACCACGTGGTTTATGCTATTTGGAGTACACTAAATTTTGTCACATACTATAAGTTTAATCCGTGACATAATAAATATCGGCAATGCTTGGATTTATATAAAGTGTTTTTTATCATGTACTAGTGTATTTTTTCGCTGGGAATTATCATTATTAAGGTTGGAATTATATAATAGAAATGATATAAAATGCGATTGGAGTAAATTAAAATATCGTCTGCAAACATGGTGAATTTGTTTTGGAAGTTTATATTCGCAAGTGGATTTTTATGTCACCTGGGGAAAATAGTACATTGTGAAGGTAAGAAACAAAATAGTCCAAGTTAAGTTAATTATATAAGGTTTTTAAATAATATTATTTAAGCACGTATATATAATATAGTTTATTAATTTTAACGCGCAAAATTGCGTATAAAATACCCCCCTATTCTGTGCCCCTTTTATCTATAGAAATAGAGTGACATTTTGACTTTTTTTGCGTCTTAGGTAATCTGAAGTAAATGATATGCATGGATGTCCAAGGTCGTTTAAAGTAATATAAACGCCGGATTAGATAGCTCAAATTTAATATATTTTTCCAGAAAGATCTTTGAATGTCAATAGTTGGTAAAATTGATATAAAAATTCTAAAGATTTAATAGCTCTTAATATATCTTACATTATTACCTTCAATAATGTAAGAGTACAAATGATTTTATGTTTATATTATTCTCAAACTAGATTAATTACAATATTCTATTATTCATGACCTTATTAAGCGTCTGTCTGTCTGTCTGTCTGTCTTGAATATATTATTGCCAATTGTGTGAAACAATTGTTTTGTAAATGCTAAAGTTTGGACTTAAAATATCAATATTTTAAGTTCCAGGCCAAAGATATAAGAATATGATGTTATAATTGTGTTGTATAAAAACTATATCTAATGCAAAAATATACACGCTATATTTCTATGTTTTAAATTTTTGAAACATGTGATTCAGTTAGTTAAATATTGAATTGAATTGAACAGATCAGAGACACTATATGTATATGAACAGATGAAGGGATACTTATAATTAATTCTTCAATCACTCAGTTGATTTTTTGATTCCTAATATAATATCAATGATGAACATCTGTGAATATTTTATATAGACCTCATACAAATTCTTTTAACAGACCTTGTCAATCTTTCATGATTTAAAAAAAAAATGTAACTAATTTCAATTGCTGTTTTATATGATTATTTTGATAATTCCAAAAATATATTATTATTTATGATTTTAATGATAATTTTATAAGTTGTTATACGATTCAATATAAAAAATTGAAGTCCTAGTTTAATTAAATGATTTTATGTTGTTTTAATAAGATCTGTAATTGTTTCAGCAATGTTATGTCAGGTCCCATTGGCAAGCCAGCATGTCAATTAAGGGTTTTCATATTATATATAAAGCAAAATTCCTTGTTTATGTACCATAAAGTTATCATTGAGATATTTGCAAGGTTGTTTTTTTTTCAATATGTTATCATTACATTCAGTGCAAGTTTTAACATATTTATATCATTTATTTACTTAGCTATCACTTTAATTCTTTAGATATCAATGGGAACATAACAAAAAAAATAAGACTTATAAAACTGCATGGGGTTTGAAATGTGATTCACAAATGTGCGTACACAAAGTTTATTAAATCGATATACTTCGTAGATATTGTTCTCGTAAAAAGCGATAAGAAATTTGAAGTGACCGTTTCAATGAAGATGTTCGTCTGACATTGAATGAAAAGTTTAAAACATGTTTAAACGAATATATTGTAAAAACAACAACATTAAACATTATGACTTTAATTCAGTTTATATACGATCTATGTAAAACACTCCACATATAGCTTGTATACACCTGTATTTCACCTGTTTACACACTGTTATGCGGAATACTTTAAAAGGATGATTACAATCTTAAGATACAAGAGGTCTCCAAAGGGAATTTGTTACTACACTAAGTTATATAAACATTTTTTTTCTTCTCCATTTTAATGTTTTTTTTCTTCTCCATTTTAATTTTTTTTTTTTAATTCAGCAAGGTGATTCAGTGAGGGGGTGGGGATAGAGATTTATGGCATGACAATGCCACATATGTATGTATTTTATGAATTCATTTAGAGCTTTTTAAATTGACTTTAAAAATGAAATTCCAAAGATATTATGTTACAGTTCTAACTGCATTTAAATTCCAATTCTACAATAACTCAGTGTAATTTTACTACAGACCTGTTGTGTTTGATTTTTTTCAATTATGTTTTAATGCCTTAAAGTCTTAACCTTTTTAGCTATGTAAGTAACAACTGGATAAAAATAGACTACAAAACAGCTTTTTTGATATTAAAATGACGATTTACTGATAATTTAAGCCGGTACTGAATTAAATACCTATTATAATAAAGCTATAATATACCTGAATATAATATTGCAGAATCCTCTCAAAATTATTAAAGCAGACGCTGCTTAGTTCATTGTAAATTAACCTGATATATTTGCTGTTGTCATTAAAAAAAAACAAAAAAACTATATATAATTAATAAACAAAGATCTTGAGCAGCTGACACTGGATTTTTCTTACAGGGCTTATTAGTCCCCTACCGGTTTACCGGAGGGGACTTTAGGTTTACCCTCCGTCCGTCTGTCCGTCTGTCCGTCCGTCTGTCCGTCCGTCTGTCTGTCAGTCCGTCAGTCCGTCCGTCCACAAAACTGGATCCCGCGATAACTTGAAAAGTACTGAAAATATTTTTATGAAACTTGGTATGTGGATAGATGGCAGTATGGAGATTATGCACGTCATTTTCTTTTCTTCCTATGTTGAAAATTCTGGTTGCTATGGCAACAAATAGGCTGAAAATATGGCAAATTTTTACACATAAACTGGATCCAGTGATAACACAAAAAGTGCTGGAAATATTTTTTTATGAAAACTTGACATATGGGTAGATGGCAGTCTTGAGATTATGCACGTCTTTTTCTTTTCTTCCTATGTTGAGAATTCTGGTTGCTATGGCAACAAATAGGCTGAAAATATGGCAAATTTTACACATAAACTGGATCCAGTGATAACGCAAAAAGTACTGGAAATATTTTTATGAAACTTGACATATGGGTAGATGGCAGTCTTGGAATTATGCACGTCTTTTTCTTTCTTCCTCTGTTGAAAATTCTGGTTGCTATGGCAACAAATAGGCTGAAAATATGGCAAATTTTACACATAAACTGGATCCAGTGATAAAGCAAAAAGTACTGGAAATATTTTTATGAAACTTGACATATGGGTAGATGGCAGTCTTGAGATTATGCACGTCTTTTTCTTTTCTTCCTATATTGAAAATTCTGGTTGCCATGGCTACAAATAGACTGAAAATATGGCAAATTTTACACATAAACTGAATCCAGTGATAACTCAAAAAGTACTATAAATATTTTTTTCGAAACTTGACATATGGGTAGATGGCAGTCTAGAGTTTATGCACGTTTTTTTTCTTCCTTTTTTGAAAAAAATTGGTTGCCATGTCAACAAATAGGCTTAAAACATGGCAAATATAACAATATTTGTGATAAGTCAAAAAGAGCTGAATTTTTTTATGAAATTGCATCTTTATTTCAAGAGTTATCTCCTCTTTAAGAATTTTGCTTTTTAAAATGTTATATTTTGGTAACAGGGATGTTTCAAATATTAACTTTAGAGTGTCCTTCAGTCCGTCTGTTCATAAAAACTGTTTCCTGTGATCACTTTTAAAGAACTTTTCCAACTTTACTTAAAATAGAGAAAAATTGAAACATTAGTGAATGACCAATGGCCCTTCAGAATGTTGATGGGGTTCTAACCGGTAGGGGACTTATGGATTGCTTGCAATACTATGATAATTGCTTGTTTTAGTTGTTTTTTTTTGTTTTTTTCGCAAAAAATTACATGTGGGAAGATCTAATTAAACACAAGCTTTTAGTACATTTGTTTAATTTTCCAATACAATGAAAATTCATTATCTAAACTTTTATCATATTATCTGTTAAGTAACTAACATGAAGATGGCTTAACAAAACTATCAAGGTAATTATTTTATTGGTGCAAAAAAAATAAAAAAAGCCGACTAGACATATAGAATATTGAGTTTTAGTACAGAATTTAGATTATTTTGCTGAGTGGTTAGTTTAGTTTATACAAATTTATTTTAGTGTACTTGTGTTGGTGGAAGCTATAAGCTTATTGAAACACTCTCGAAATCTGTTCATTGATCCAAGCATGCAGTACTAAGCAACAAGTGTAGAGTTTCCTACTGAAGGAGAAAATGGCTTGCCCCTGACGGGGTTTGAACCCATGCAGCCAGCAATCCTTAGATCGATAGTCAGACCTGTTCACCAATTGGCCACTCTGCCACACACACTGTGGGTTTGAATCCCACCAGGGACTTTGGATTTTTTTATGTGAGGAAGCTATCCAGCTAACTTATGCTCTGTCAGTGGTTCTACTTAGGTGCTGTTTGTGCCTTAAATAATGCACAAAGGGGCACCTGAGGTCTTCCTCAACCAGTAAAGCTGGAACACCGCCATATGACCTATACTGTGTTGGTCCCACATAAAATATATTTATATATTGATCTTAAATTATAAATGGACTCAGCCTGGACGAGAAACACTGAAAGTTTTTGGCCTTATAAACAAATAAAGTTATATGAATATCAATTATTAAACTTACACAATTTAATGCATTTTAACAATTACTGATATTCAAAATAATCTAAAGATGAAACTATAACCAACTTTTTGTGACTTAAAATTGAAGTTGTTTTATTGTATACCTTTATAAAAAAGTTTACTTAATTTGAAATAATTTATAATTCTAATCTATCATTTCCTAAATCATTTAAAACCTTGTCAATGACTGTTTGTGCAGTCTAAACTTATTCATGTTTTTTTTTTCAAAGGAAAAAATATGAGGCCAAACAATTTGTTTCATTATTTGTCCAAAAATACTATTTATGATATTTAATTGACTTTCCAAAGCAAAAAAAAAAAAAAAAAAAAAATAATCCCAAACTGGTTTTAACTGCAGTGCAAATGTCAATCATTAAAGAAGCTGAAAATTTGCCTAATATTTATAGAGAATTAAGGTTTAGAATACTTAAGATTTATCTAAAACAGAATTTAGAATTTTTTTTATAAGCCCATATATGCTTGTGCAGTTATGCAGTTATTATTTGGTTTTCAATGCTGTGAATGTTTAGTTGACATTTTGATTGTTAATAAAATTTCAAAACCGTTTTAAAAATGCAC